TCTTAACCATGAATCCTCTGAAGCAAGGATTTATCTCATAACATTTCGGACCGGAGTCAGAATCGAGTGGTACTGAGTTTGGGAACCACTCGGGTTCAGCCGTCTGTCTTCCGTTCGAGGTTCATAAATGAGTGTTACAATGGGAAGGGTACAGGAGACTACACACTATAACTGCCACATAGCTGTCGTCGAGTTTGCCCTTAAAACTAAGGAACTCCTACCTGATGGTATGAAAATGACTGCACCATAAAACGGCAAGGAAACCGGACATTCTAGCAGTTACAAACTTTCTTTGTTCTTTCTGTCAAGACAATCAATATCGATACATTTCAAATACTAACATCGGATTTACATGGCGACAACGTACCGTGTAAAGAAAAGAGATTTTCCCTCTATTTTAAATTAATACTGCGGTAGTGTAAGACCGACAGAAACATTTACACCGGGTCGTACCGCAGCACTGCACCGCTCCCTTACTTCTAGTCGCCTGGGGGAACGAGGATAGGGCATTTAAGCAGGCCATGCCTCCAAAGCACCTGCAGTGCATAGGACGCGTGACCACGTCTCTGAGTTGGGTTCAGCAAGGGCATGTTCAAACCGAAACACGATTGCCACTACCCTTCGGCAAATACAAGCAAAACGAAACAAAACAGAACCCCGATATTTTGGGCGAACTTCAACGAACTTTTGTATATATCTGGTATAAGTGTCTGAAATGTTATATTTACTAGCGGTATTAAAATCTCTGACTAGTGTAAGTTACCCCAGAACATAGGGGTTATAAGATTTGTTTCATTTTGTCGGTAACAATATAATTTAATGTACTGAATGACAGGAAGAAAAATGGCAGAGTGCATTCTTTCGAGCTACCGCGTAGTTCATTTAAAAAATAAATTTACGTCGACGCGTTGTGCTGACCGTTTAGTTAACTATCAGGTGGATCAAGGCGAACTGCAGATGTCAGACCTATCAGACAGCATGGTCGTATGTATACGTGCTTTAGCATGACTACACCGAAGCGCAATGTGGGCTTTGCTGTTCGCAAATAAACGATGAAGCACAGAGGTGTAAATTCCTTGCTCAAGAGAATGTGTAATTGGTAGGGGAAATGTATGCCGGAGTGAAGGACAGATCAGCAATGTTCAAAGCAAACTATGAACGCTTTGCGTTAGGGCTCCGTCCCTCCCCCACTGCTGAACATTTGACATCAGTCATGAAATGGTCCACAGTCGATACTAGTATACAAATGCTAACTGTCAACGAGAAGGATACCCTTTGAATCACTGGACTAAATCCAAGTCCGTCAAAATGAGAAAAAAGTGTAAAATATTTTAGCCGCATCATTTAACTCAGGAATAGGGGAGAAGCGTTTCCTAATTTGAGAATTCTAACCAAGCTGCATCACCTAAAGCCCATGTTTGTAGAATATAAAAAACTAAATGGCCCAATACCATTCAGGCAGCAATGATTGCTCGGCTTTTACATATTTGGCGTTTTCACGCAGTTATGTAAGAGTGCTTCGAACTCAGGAAGTGTCGGATTCGATTCTGCGAGAGGGCAATTTTAGTCTTATTCACTAAATCACTTTAGCAAGTAATTTACCGCATGTTTCTTTAACGTCCAAC